CACTTCCTGTCTGCTCTGGCTGCGCTGCGGCCAACAGTGAGCTGCGTGGCGGCGCCCGCTGCTACAGTCATTATGGTAGCTTGGGGGGGGGGCGCTTGTTTTGGGGAAGGTCTTATTTTTGGGGGGATGCCTTATATTTCAGCGAGAGGCAAAATTGTAAGTAGGTCTTATTTTCGGGGGATGTCTTACTTTCCGGGAAACACAGTAGTTAAGAGTTAATGTCAACTTGAATTTGTATGAAAGTGTAGGGGCGGAGCCCAGCCCATGACTTGATGATGCCTCCCTGGGGGTATGGCCTTTTCTACAAGAGACAGTGAGGACTTCCTCTCTTGCCCTTTCCCCTCCATCCTTGCTGGGACTGTGTGCTTCCAGGGGCGGCCCCATTGGTTGTTGACTCAAGGAGCCAACTTCTGAGCTATTGGCACCCATGTGCCATATTCCAACTGATCTTGGATCCACACGCCTCTGCACCCACTGGCCTGTGATCTCCCTGCTTCTCGCTTCATATTTCTGTCTCAATAGCCGACAACTACACTGAAGAGGGGACCAGCTAGCATCACACCAAAGGACTTGAGTCAGACTGAGCTGGGATGTCTTCTTGATATGAAGGTTCTTCTTATACATATATGAGCGTCATTGGTTGTGTTTCTCTAGACAATGTAGCCTAAGACTTTCAGTGAACCCCGGTGGCACTGCTGGGTAAGTGAGAGGCTACTAACCACAAGGGGGGTGGTTCAAGTCCACCTGGAGAAACATGGGGGTATCTGCTCTCCTAGATTACAGTCTCAGAACCCCTAGTGAGGGTCAATAGGAGTCGGGATTGATTTCATGGCACTGGGTTTGGTTTGTGATGAAGCGTCAACAGGGACCTGCTGAGGGTGCTAAGTATGGGGAACACTGGGACAATGTTTCCAAGATAGCTGGACACATCCCAAGGTGAGAATGGGTCTGGGTGGGCAGCCTTGGGCTCCACCAGCACAGGGTAGGCATGGAGGTGGCAGGAAGGACCATGAGGAAGTGGCCAGGCTGTCCCCAGCCATCTGCCCTTCCCTGCCCTGGCTCCCTAGAGCCCTGGTTTCCGCCCTCAGGCTGGCCAGGACTTCAGCTGTCTGGCCATGGTCACGCCTCCCCCATGCCCTCCCCAGCCCTGAGAAGGGCGGGGAGAACTCAGAGGCCACTCTTTCAGATCCAGCTGCTGAGCAGTCTAGCCGGGGCTGATAGAGATCTGCAGTAGCCCTCCTGCACACCAGCCCAGCCCCAGCAGAGCTGCTGGCACCATGAAGGACGAGGTGGCTCTTCTGGCCACTGTCACCCTCCTGGGAGTCCTGCTGCAAGGTGGGCTGGCTCTGGTCTGAGAGGTGGGTGGGCCTCAGGTCTCTGCAGACTACCTTCAGGCCCTCAGTAGGTGCTGGTGGGACCCAAGCCAGGTGAGAGGCAGAGGTGGAAGCCTCTGGGCCAGGCTCAGGATGCTATGGCCCAAGGAGGATGTCACGCTCCAGCATCTGAGTGCCTGCTAAAGGGTTGCACCTTCCCTGGGGTGGAGAGGGAGAAAGCCCTGGAGGGGTGTCCACAGGGTGAAGTCTGCAGGGCGTCTGTGTAAAAACCTTGGGCAGGGGACTGAGGCTGAGCAGGTGGGGGTTGCTGACTCAAGGGGACCCAGCAGCAGAATGAAAAAAGGTCCAATTGAGGGAGGCAGGGCAGGTACTTGGCTTGAGGCTGGGTGTGAGGAGGGCAGGAGGTTCCAGGGCCGAGTAGAGCAGCATAGACTATGGGACTCAGGCACAGGGGCGGGTCGTCAGGGTGAATGGTGATCTGGCGGTCAGTACAGAAGTGGCATGATAGTAGCGATGCCCTTCCCTGCAGAGGGAAGAATTGCACAGCCACCCCTAGAGAACCACCACAATGCACACAGGACTGGATGTCTGCAGAGGGCCTGGTACCTAAGACTCTAATTTAGGGCCGCCAAACTTTCAGGAAGAAACTGGAGACACCAAGTATTGGGGTAAAGGCATGAGGTGGGTCCAGGGCAGCTGAATGAGGAAACTGAAAGAGGGGCCCAAGGCAGTTTGCAAGTCCAGGGACTCAGGCTTGACTGATCAAGAGGTGCCTCTTGCTGAGTTCCATCCGAGGAACCAGGAACCACTAGTCACAGGGTATGTACTGCCCTGCACCTCAAGGGATGCAGCCAGCCGTCCTCAGGCCCTTCCTGTTCTGAGACCCCAAAGGTAAGGTCCAAGTCCCAAAAGTTGAGCTGTGCATTTGCCTGTGTTTTGCAAGTCAAATCAATCGAGAAGAAAGAGGGGCCCTTCCCCAATGGCCAGGTGTCCCTGTGTCTGCCGCACCACCTCATTACAGAGCAGAACAGGGCCGGGTCTCATGGTGGTGACCAGTCAACTGTGGAGTAGGGAGAAGGAAACAGGAGGGCCAGAAGAGAGAATGCAGAACATCCGACCTGACTCCCACTCCCTCCTCCCCAGCCTACTTCTCCCTGAAGGTGATCCGGGCGCGCCGTACCTTCCGCGTGTCACCGCCGCTCACCACCGGCCCACCCGAGTTTGAGCGTGTCTTTCGAGCCCAGTGAGCCGCGGCACGGGGAGGGCGAGACCGCGGCGAGCCCTGGGCAGAGCCCCAGCCTGGCGAAGTTCTCATGGCGCCCGCCCCTGTAGGGTGAACTGCAGCGAATACTTCCCGCTGTTCCTCGCCACGCTCTGGGTCGCCGGAGTCTTTTTCCACCAAGGTCTGGGCGCAGGCAGGGCGCAGGCACTGGAGGCGGGCGCGGGGGCCAGCAACCGTGCTTACGCCTCCCGCCCCCGCCTCTCCCAGGGGCGGCGGCCCTGTGCGGCCTGGTCTACCTGTTCGCACGCCTCCGCTACTTCCACGGCTATGCGCGCTCCGCACAGCTCAGGTGAGAGCCAGGGACGGCATCCTGGGATGGGAAGCAGGTAGGGGAAGGTGGCTTGGGAGCGGGAACCCCACAGGGATGGCGGAGACCAGTTGGAGGGGGGGCCCTGTCCCGGCACTGCTAGGGCGGTGGGCCGGCCTCAGTCTGAGGGGCTAGCGCGTGGGCGGTGGGCGGCCTGCCCCGCCCCCGCCCCGGCTGAGCCCCGCCCACAGGCTGGCCCCGCTCTACTTGAGCGCGCGCGCGCTCTGGCTGCTCGTGACGCTGGCGGCGCTCGGCCTGCTCGGCCACTTCCTCCCCGCGCTGCGCGCGGCGCTCCTGCGGCGGCTGCGGACGCTGCTGCTGGGCGCCTGAGCCCCAGGACGCCGCGGGATCTGAGGAGCTGGGGAGGAGCCGGAGCCTCCTGGAGGATGGACGGGGGAGCGGGTGGGGTGGGGGTGCTCACGCTACAGCCCCCAAATTAAAATTCCCGTGACCGAATCCCCGCCGTTTTCTCTGGGTCGTAGCCTGGAGGGGCCGGACCTCGGGTCGGACCTGCCTGAGGGCATCTGGGAGGCCGCTGGCGGGGGTCTCGAAGAACGGAATCCGAATCTTGCCCTCTCCCACCGTCCCCCGCGGGGATGGTCCTCCTCTCAGCTCTCCTGTGGGAGGCTTTCCCCACCATGGACTCTTGCCTTAGTCTTCGCCTTCCGCTCGCCTTTCCCCCCCCTCCATTCCCGCCCCCACCTCGGGGCCAACACCAGAGCCCCTTGGCTGGATGCTGGGAGAGGACCTGGGGCAGCGGGTTTGGGGGCAGTTCTGACTCTCCCAGGAGGGGGAGGGAGACGTGGTGGGGGTGCATGGTCCTTAGATTGCGGGCAGAATCGGAGGTGGCACGGTGGAATATTCTGGCCCGGGGTCTACTCCACACCCCAGTCAGCTTTAGCTCAGGCACAGACCTGGACCCAGGCCTTCTGGACTGGGAGCATTCCCTTCGGAAGCATAGACGTCATTAACCCTTTATTACAAGTCACGCTCTTATAGAAGTATATGTGGACTTACGTGAAAAAATCAAATGTATCCAAGAATAAAAAACACAGCACATAAAGTAGTATACGCATTCCAGTGTTCGCGCCGGAGACAGCGGACGCCCAGATAAAAGCTCTTCTAAAAGGGCCTGGCTTGAGCTGGCCAGTGAGAACGTTCTGGGCGGCTGGGCCGGCCCTCAGGCACAGTGGGGGGCCGCCTGCCTCCTCTGCGGCCCAGTGGGGCGGCGGGGCAGCACCAGCTCTTGGGGCCTCTGGGGCCTGCAGCAGACTCCAATACCGCCCAGGCCCTGCGCCAGGCAGAACCCTTCTGGCTGGGGTGGCCTCGCCAGGTCCTCCCATGGCAGCATCAGAGACACCGAGGTCCTGTGGACTTCAGGCCCTGCCACAACACATCTTCAGAACCCTTGACTTAATCGGCCTTTTTCAGGAAGATCTGAAAGAGTGGGTCTCCGGGTCAGCAGGGCTGGGAGCAATTGGCCTGGTCCAGCTACCATCCCCTCCCCCTGCCCCTGCCCGCCTTACCTCACTCAGAATGACCCACACGGGTGAGTCTGTCTGGATGGACAGACGCAGTGCTTCCAGGGGGCCAAAGGCAGGGTCCACCTCGCCCTCAGCCACACCCTTGTGGAAGGAGCCTAGGGGAGGGCAGTGTTTAAAGGTGGTCCCAGAGCCTCCAGTCCAGCCCCCAGGGAGCCCACCTGCTCAGTGTCCCCTCTAACCCCATCCCCATACTCACTGATCTGGAGGTAGCCATCAGGGCTCCTAGGGTACCGGAGAGTGGCTGAGCGGCCCTCCTGCAGGGCCTCCTTGTCTGACTGGGGATTCTGGAGACAAAAAAAAAAAACAACAAAACAGAGAGAGGGAGAGATTGGACCACCATGGCTAGGAGAGGGCCAAGTTTCAGTCAAACCCCCCTCCCCAGCCCTCCCACACTCACATCAAAGGGCAGCACCTCCACAGAGGTGTTGAAGAGCTTGTCCTCGGGGTGCTCGATGTTCCCGCTGCGGAAGAAGAACCTGCACCAGACAGGCCTGTGAGCTACTGCATGGCAGGCCCAGGGGCCTGGCCCCCAGCCCCCGCAAAGAAAAGGGGCAGGCCTGGGCCAAGGCCTTGCCCATTGGGAATCCTGGAGATGGACGTCATTACTGAGTTTTTTGTGCACTGTCGCCCTGGGCCCTTACAAGGCAGCTACACTTATGGAGGTGCCCCACTTTTCGGGGAAGGAAATTGAGGCAAGGTGAGGTTCAGTAACTGGCTGAGGTAAGGCCTGTTCCCTGAGGGCTAGGGGCTACCTGGACCCCTCCCCCAGCATGGATGCTGGCACTGACCGCTCAAGGCGTAGTGGCTGGAAGAAGCGGAAGCGGATGAAGTCCCCTGCGGCGGGGGTGAAGGCCCAGAAGAAATCCTCACGCAGGTAGGCCTTCTCCAGGGTGAAATGCTGGTATGTCTTGAGGCTCGTGCTCACCTCGGCTGGCGGGTTGACGTGCTCCTTCCGAAGGGAATGCTTCCCGAAGTCCTTGTCCTGCAGCCATGGAGGGAGAACGGAGCTAGGGACTGCAGTCCCGAGTATGCCCCGCTGCCCCGCGCCTGCCCCAGCCTTGAGTACTCAGCCTGAATTCAGCCTGGAGGACCCGGCGAGCATGTGGCTCAGCACACCTTGAGTTTCTGGATCTTGCCTGCCAGTGACGAGTGAGTGCCCACATGCTGGAAGAGCGATGGCTTGAAGCGGATCCTAAGATTGGCCTTCTGCCGGTCACAGTGCTTCTGCAGGGGAAGGGTGACACCCTAAGGTTAGCTGGTCAAGGCTGGGTCTCACCTGGGGGCCAGCCAGGAGCCTCCTGCAACAGGGTCACACATGTGGGCAGGTACCTGCACAGAGGCTGTATGTCCCCTGCCCGCCTGCCTCTACGCATCCCAGACTCACTGCATCCTTCTCGGGGTTGCAGACCTTCACCCACAGAATGTGGTCCAGGAGCCAGTCAATGGGTTTGTCCCGGTAGAACATGAGGATGAACTCCACAATCAGGCTCAGATCTAGTGACTTGAACATCTTGCCTGGGGGTGGGGGTGGGAGGGGCTGAATGGGCAGAAGGTGCCCCACTTTTAACCCACAGGGGGGTGGGGGGTGGATCCCAGGGCAACCCCCAAGGAGCTACAGGCAGGTGTGAGCACAGAAGACAGATGGAGGGGAGGAGCCAGCCATCCCAATGCAGCTGGGAGAGGGGGTGGGCAGGAACAGATGGGGCTAGAGTGGGCATTCCAGGCAGGGCTGGAATCTGGGCAGAGACTGGCAAACCTGACACAGCCTGCTTGTGGGACCGAGGAGCAGGGTAGGCTGAGAGAGGACAGGCAGAGAGGTGGGCTGGCTAGAGGGCTGTGGGCAGGGGCGGGGCACACCAATGAAGCCGAGCTGGGAAAACTCCAGGATCATCCAATCCTCTGAGGGCTGCTGAAGGGCGAAATTCTTCATGGTGCTCAGGTAGTTGGGCTTGGCTACAATGTCATCCTCCAGCTGCAGAGGCAGGAGGGGATTCCAGGCTTACTGCTGAGCCCTGGCTGGGACTCAGGATAGACATGGCAGGGCAGAGCTCAGCACCAAGGCCCAACCAAAGTCCAAGGGGCAAGGCAGCAGTAAAGGCCCCATGGGTTCTTGACCCACACCACCCTCCGGCAGAGAAGCATCTCGGCGCTGACCTGCACGTAGTAGATGCCTTTGGACTGCGCATACATCATGAGGAAGCAGTAATCGAGGTTCTGTTTGGTCCTCCACCTGTGGGCCAGGGGCGGGGGTCTCAGATGCACAGGATTCCCCTACCTCCAGGGGGAATCACCTGAGCTAGCAAGGGCTGCAGGGAGGCCACTGGGTGGGAAGGGACCTGGCCCCACCATGCAGGTGGTGGAAAAACAGGGGCACTGTGGGGAAGGGTCCTGGACTTGGGTTGGTAGGCCGGATTCTCATCCCATGTAGGTGGGGCCACAGTCATACCTGACTCTCTCTTTGGGGTCCCCAAAGGATTCTCGGAGGCGGGAGAAGTCAGGGTAGAAGTGGGGGGAGGGGGAGATGACCTCCAGGAGCCCGGAATGGATCTCCATGGGGAACCTGGGGGGACAGGAAGGCCCAGTGAGTGTGCAGCCCCATGCACAAAGGACCAAGAGGAGGAACTGAGCCACCTAGATCTCCTTTGTCTGAGTGCCACCAGGCAGCTCCCCTCCCCAGCTTAGAGACACTGGGGCTCCTCAGAGGGGATGGGCCACCTACACACGCATACACACACACACACACACACACACACTCTCTCTCTCTCCTATTTATGCGGAAACAGACCCGACCCCCCCCACCAGGCCTAGGGCCACCCCCTCCACTAGTTCTGTCAGGCTGTCACTACTCACAAGGCCTTGATGTTCTCTGT